TGGGTCTAATTACCCATAGGGTCACCGAGCCCTTTTTTTGGACTGCTCTAGGCTGAGTCACAATGGCTGGCCATTCTCTTCTTTGGCCCTAGCATCACCAACTGAATCAGATCCCTGTATTTCTCCAGGCCTCTGTTCCCACATCTGTCAAATAGGGATAATGAGCCTTGTTCTTCAGAGGGAGAAGGACAATTCCATTAACCTTAAAATAAATAAGGAAATAAGGGTATTCACTGTATACACCTCATGGGCCTCAAGGCACCCTGTTGTTGGAGTTTAGGGAGCGGGCTTTGGAACACGGAAACATGTGGACTCCTTAGAACTTCCTTATTCTTCTGTCTTATTATTTATTATTATTATTATTTTCTGGCACCGAGGATTGAACTCAGGACTTTGTGCTTGCAAGGCAGGCACAGGGCCACTGAGCTAAATCCCCGGCCCCTCTTTTTATTTTTCTGAGTCCTGGCAGCATCCCCCAGCCCTGTAACTCTCCCTAAGACTCTTCCCCCTTGGACCTTCACAAGCCCATGTCAGGAGTTGGGAGAGGCCCCTTTACCTTGAGGGAGCCAAGCAGGTGGAGGAGGCCCCCTCACTGCCTCCTGGGGTGGGCAAACAGGTGAGGCCCAAGTCTGTTCTATACCCCTAGGACAAACAAGGGCTGGCTTCTACTTTCTCCCTTGCTGGCTGGGACCCTCTACACCCCCAGAGCTCTAGCCTGCCCAGAACTGTGCAGGCGGAGTCACCCTGAAGACCTTAGTCACCCAGATAATCAGCCCAGGTTATGAGGGCCTGCATTAACCCTTCAAGCCCTGGTCACTCCTCCTGAGCATAGAAGCTGGGTTACCAAGGGACCCCTCAAGGAAACGCACAGAGTCCTCATAGAGGCACCCCACCTCCCTCCCACCTGTACACTCCAGCACACACACACATAGTCCTTCTGGACACCCTGCTCCCTCTTCTCTCAGGCCTCAGCGAACTGTTCTAGCTCTGTGTGTGTAGGGGGCTAGAGGCCTGGGCCTCCCATAACACCTCTGGCGGTCGAGGCAGCCCACACCTGGCCTGGGTGGAAGCACAGTAGCAGGGGAGACCTTGCTCCTGTGCACACCTTTCCATCCTCCTCTCAGCTCTGAAATCCCGCTCCCTTTGAAGGGCCAGAGGCCTGGAGGGGAAGGCGGGCTAAGCATTCCTGGATCCCTTTCATCTCTGCTGGACCTTCCCTCCAGCCCAGGCGCCAGCATGGCAGGAAGGGCCACCTCCCTGGTTCACCTGGAGGGGTCCTCCTGGGGGGTCAGGGATGCTTCAGCCAGACTTAGGCCTGCACTGGCAGGGTGCATCAGCCCTGGGTCCCCGGCCAGTGTTAATTCTTCCAGGCCTGGTCACCCTTCCTCCCCAAGCCTGGCTTCTCCTTCCTTTTTCCCACTTCCCCCAGGGAAGGAGACAGAAAATGAGTGGTGAGGGGAGCTCCGTGGACGCTGTAAAATGGGGCAACTGTTGTCACCTGAGGACGTGGCCAGGAGGAAGTAGATGTTTAACAGGTGCCTAATTACAAGTCCCTCTGGCCACCCTGCACTACTCTCAGGACAGGGAAGAGCTTGGGTGAGGGCTGGGTAATGCCTGGGTAGGCCATCCTGTCACCCCGATAATTAGGGTTACTGGGGCTCCTCCCCAAGGCGGGGACTAGGCCCCCTCCCTCCCATAGAAATAACTCCGGCTGCTCCGCGGCTGGGCACTCACTGCACCTTCCTGCCACCCCGGGCAGTGTCTGGGCCCTCAGCTCCCCCCCCCCCCACCCCCCCCCCCCCCCCCC